TGCAGGCTGAAACGGAGGCCGTCTTTAAGTGTTGAGGGCCTGTTGGAACCACTCCCCTACCAGACCAAGTAAGGCTGATGATCTGTGTCTGACGACTCGACTGTCCCGGGGGATACGAACCCTCCCAAGGACCGGTACAGACCGGTGGGCTGCTCGGTGTGGCACAGTAGGCCGGAAAGGCTGAGTTGTGGGCTGAAAGCACAGGCAGAACCAAACTGATCACGTCGTCCTGTCTACGATGTTAAAGAATTCTTGCGGAGTTTGGGGGATCTCCTTAAAAGACCTCCTGATCAGCCACTGGTTCAGTAGTGACAGCCATAGCATAGGTCTAGCCTAGAGACCATAGTTGACAGAGTCCTTGTCAGGATTCTGTAAGTCTTAGATTGAGTCTATAGGTTTGTCAGTCAGGGGTCAGAGTCTACGTGGTGAGGTTTGGAACCACTAACCCGGTTGTACACTAATCACCATGGTTGAGACCCGTAGTGGGAAGGAGACTAGCCCCTACACCACTGAGCAGCAAGAAAAGATGGCCGCCTTAGTCAAAGAAAATAAGGAGAGGAAAGAGCGTGAAAAGCAGGCCAAGTTAAAGGCTATTGCAGATGAGCAGGCGGCAAAGATGAAGAGGTTAGAGGAGGAGATGAAGAGGGTACAACAAGAGGAGGAAGAAAGAAGGAAGGCTGCTGAAGCAGAAGCGGCAGCAGAAGAAGAGAAAGAGAGAATGAGAATTGAGAGTGGGGAAGGGAGCAGTGGTGGCACGATGAAGTGGGAAACAGATACTGAGCTGGAGAAGAAGATCAGCGAGTGGGTCGCTAATTTATCGTTGGGGGAAGACGAGGAGGCGGAGCCATATGTGACTAAAGATGAGAAGGCTGCGCTGGCCGCGGAGCTAGCAGCCATGACAGACCCGATGGAACGAAGAGAGAGGGAGGAGGAACAAAAGTTAGCATGGAAGCTGAGAATGAAGAGGGAGAAGAAGAGGAGGAGGGAGGAAGTGAATAAGATKACCGCAACAGTGGCAAAGGTGCAGGAGTGTAGAGCGGAGGTGCTGGCCCAGCCAGATGATAAGGCCAAGTGGGATAAGGTACTGGGGTACCTAGAAGTGTTGAGCAAGGCCTGGATGGAAGAGCGCCAGGCTAGCTGGAACCAAGATGTAGCCTTGAGTGCCATGTGGTCATGGTTTAGAGACTTTGCGAGCGAGATCGTCACCCATATTGGGGGCGAAGTTAAGCAATTGAGAGACAATGTAGGGAAGTTTTGTGAGGGCGCCATTCAGGGTGCCAAAGCTGTAGCCGCTGTAGAGGGAGAGGCCAGACCCCGTAAGGACCCAGTGAAACTTAAGTTCCCAGATGCGTACGGGGGAAAGAAGGAAGAAAACTTTGACAACTGGGAAGCCATTGTCAACAGTTATATTTACTTGCAACATATCCTAACAAAGGAACAAGTCCTCGTGGCCTTCAAGGCCCTCAAAGATGAAGCGGCTAGTTTCACCAGGTCTCTAGCGCGTACATCCGGTTGTGAAAACAACCTGGTTGCATATTCCAAAGTCACTCCTCTTTCCCAATTCCTCAAGCTCCTCAAGGAGCGGTTCGCTGACCCAACGCGAGGCATTAAAGCCTCTGATAAGCTCCAGACGATCCACTCCCGACAGTGGAGGAGTGCCAAGGCACTCAAGGGCATCATGGACGACTTGGTAGCCGTCCCGGACCACGGGGTCACAGAGCCCCAGCTGGTCCAGTTGTTTTATTGTGCCATTCCAGAGGCCCTACGTGGGCATTTCTTTGACAAATCTCAGCAGGCCGGCATGACTTACGATGCATTGAGTAGAGAAGTCGTCCTGTATGAGTCCAAGTCTATGCCAGTTACCACTTTCTGGCATAAGGACCTGGAGAAGGGGAAGAAGTGGAAAGATCGTACCATCTCGGGCCAAGTCAAGGCCAAGGATCACTTGATCTTGACATTAGAGGAGGGTGGTACAGGAGAGGTCCCATATGATCAGATTGAGTGGGGCGTAGGGGAGGAGTACAGTAGTGTAGGGCAGGGGAGGTCTTATGCTGCTGTCGCGGCCGGAGGGAGGCCGCAAGGTAGGGGAGGAGGCCAGGGCCAAGGGGGCCAGGCCATGGGAGGCCGAGGACCGGACGTACAGGGGGTTGGCGGATAGGGAAACCGCCAAGCGGGAGGTAGGGGTCAAGGTCCCTCGTTAAATCGCCAGGGTAACCGGTCCCCACAGCGAGGAGGTGGAAGGGCACCTCAAGTAGGATGGCACCCAGGCTTGCCGCAGGGCAGGCCCTGGGAGGATTTGGGTTTGGACCAGCGCGTATGGCAAGAACGCGTGGACCGAGGTCAGTGCATATTTTGTGGTGACCCGGCCCACGTAATAAAATTTTGTCCAAAGTATAGACAGGCCCGTTGGGCTGCTCGATCGTCAAAAGGCAGCCGCCAGTAGGGGTTGCAACTGCCCCTACTTCAAGGTCATGTGGAGAAGTGAGCGCGTGAACAGGACACTCCCAACCCACATGAGCCTATGGCAGAGGTTGCAGGCCCGTGCCTAGATAGCTGTCCAGAGACTGCTTGTGTTAGCGTCTCTTTAGGAATGTCCCTCACGGGTGTGGCAAAAGAGTTAAAGGAGAGGATGTCAGCCTGGGCCAAAATGAAAAGGGAGAGTAAGGGACAACTGATTTTGGTAGATGTAGAGGTGTTCAGAAGTAGAGTAGGGGCCCTTATAGACTCAAGGGCTACCCGTAGTTACATTAGCCGTAGGGCGCTGAAGAAGTTGAGGCTAGGACTAAAGGTCCAGAAACTAGTAGACCCCATAGTCAGTGTCCTCGCAGACAACCGCACGATGCGAGTTGAGGACTATGTAGAGGGAGTCCAGGCGTACTTTCGCGTAGAGAAGGATGGGAAAGTGGAGAAAATTCTCCATTCCCTGACTCTCCTCGTACAAGATGACCTTCCTTTCGATGTAGTTTTAGGAATGGATTGGGGAGAGGCAGTCGGGGCCACACTCCATTTGAGAGAGCATGAGTGTAGGCTCCCTAGCCCGGCAGGCAAAGTTAAGACTGCCCGCTTGTTCCATGTGTCGGGTGTAGACAACACATTGGCACATTGCTGTCTCAGTGCTCCCGCGTTCGCGCGATTAGTAAAAAAGGAGCAGTTAGAAGACCAGGTCTTTGTAGTTTATGTTAGACCTGTCACTGAGGCCCAGGAAAAGGATAGCTCCA